CTCTCTCTCTCTCTCTCTCTCTCTCTCTCTCTCTCTCACACACACACACACACACACACACACACACACACACACACACACACACACACACATGAGCTCGCATAGATTGAGAGTATAATACGTAGATAAACAAGACCATCTTCAACACGCATCCTTTCTCCTTCTCTTCCTCCCTTCTCTCCCCTCTCTTATGCTCACTTCCATGTATTCTCCTGGGCAAGACCAGGAGTACTCAGTTTGTGCAGAAACTGATAGAGTTAAGCGTACCCTCCTAAATTGTGAGCGTTCCCTCTTCACACACAAGACCTACCTTCATCACCTAACCCTTTCTCGGAAGTTTCTCCTCCTCTTCTCCCTCTCTCTCTCTCTCCCCTTCTCTCTCCTCTTCTGTCCTCCCATCTGCTGTTCCACTCTTTACGAATCGATAGTTGCTCTTCGCGTCTATTGTGAGCTGCTACAGGGATCCTCCCACCGCATGTCATTGATTCTCATAGCGCTTTAAAAAATAATCCCACGCCCCACTGACAGTAAGCTTCTCAATTCAAAAAAAAAAAACAAGAAGAAGAAGAAGAAGAAGAAGAAGAAGAAGAAGCTAACTTCCCGGTCAAGCACTCGTATGCTCTTCTTCTTCTTCTTCGTCTTCTTCTTGTTCTTTTTTTTTTTTTGAATTGAGAGCATGCGTGCTTGACCACATGTTCTCAATTCAAAAATCGTCAACAAGCCAAAGACGCTAGCCTCTCAATCAAAGAAACATGTGAAGGTGTTATGCACATCAAAGGTCATCATGGAATGCTCAAGGCATACTCATGTTCCGCTTTCATTAAATTCACTGCATCTCAACACTGTTACAAAAAAAACAAAAAAATAAAACCTGAATTCTTCCAGAGAACATGGTCAGATACCTCCGGACCATCCAGATAACACATCTCCCTCACACCAACATGGTACTAGTCCGAACGCTTCCGATCCACAAGGCCAGGGCCACTAGCCTTTGCTGCGTTGGCACAATCACCAACAACTACTACTGGAGCAGCGCCCGTAAAATGAAGAGGAAGTTGATGAAGAACAAGTGGCAGCAGCAGCAGCAGCAGGAGAACGAGGAGAAGGAGGAGGAGGAGGAGGAGGAGGAGGAGGAGGAGGAGGACCACCAGCTGCAGTGGCTATGGCTGCTGCCCCCGCAGCAGTAGAAATAGCACCACCGAGCAGACGAAGAGCAATGACATCAGACCATAGCCCAAGCTTGAATTTGGCATCATGTACGAAGAAGAAGAAGAAGAAGAAGAAGAAGGGGGGGTTTCACACACACAGAGAGAGAGAGAGAGAGAGAGAGAGAGAGAGAGAGAGAGAGAGAGAGAGAGAGAGAGAGAGAGAGAGAGAAGGGGGGGGGGGGGGGGGGGGAGCTCCGGGCGAAAGGCTGTAAGAGAAATTACAACGAGGGGCACATAAATAAATTTTACGGTCAGAGAATTTGTGTCCGGTTCATGCCATATTTTATGTATGTGCCCCTTGAGGGGCACAGGGGCACATACATAAAGACAATTGGAATAAAAACGCCTCTGAGGCAAATTTATGTCGGGTACTTACTACTTGGCCTGACATTCGTACGGATAACTAAGGCAGATATAAATATCGACTATTGACGACGAATATTTATAAGTTATAACGAATATTTTACATCAGCCTCCTCGCAGGACTATTTTGATGAGGAAAATGTCTTACATGAGCTGCCTTCCAGGTCAAATGAGACTCGGAGAGGCCGGCAGCGGTACATCGAATCCCGCTGAAGCAGAATTGAACATTTCTTGATAGAATCGGAGCATACGTGTCACACGAGCACAATCTTAAATGGATCTGGCCATAAATACGGCCCTACTCGCATGTACCTAACTGAAATTACATCCAGAAGACAAGTAAAAAAAGTCCTACCGCCAGTATGCCCTCAATAATTGAAACATCAAATCCTACTGAAAATGAATCGAACGCTCTTTGATGAAATCGAAAATTGAAAAAAAAATCCATGAAAATAGACAGTCTTCGCCATAAGGCAAGTTCCCAAAAAAAAAAAAAAAAAGGAAAAAAAAAAACAGCAGGGTCATGGGATGCGTATTGGCTGTGTGCCAGCCCTCGAACGACCATGGGCCAGGTTCGTCACGTGAAATCAATATTCCGCATTCGACCGTAAATGTGGTCAGATACATTTAACACAGAGCTAGTATAGGTGTTGCATATTACATGGAAAGTTAAATGTCAGCAATCGTTGAATGACTGCACTGCATCTCAACAAAGAAAAATTAAACCACCAGTACATCCGTACGTGCAAAATTACGAACTGAAGGGGAAAAAAAACAAACAACAAAAAACAATATCGAACTGAAAAAGTGCCTTTTGGTCTGGTAGGTAATCGTTAATGAATAAAATGTACACAGTGCAGGGGCCCATAACCGGTACTGAATACAATCTACATAATCATTAACAAATAAAATCAACAGTGCAGGCCACTGAACGGGCGATTAAAGACTGGTGGAATAATTTTAAAAAATCCAGAAATAAATAATGCTATTGACCGAAAAGTAGTAGTGCACTGATACTGTAATTGAACAGGTCACCAACTACTGCCTCACTATCCTAGCCACATGTCCAGCAAGCCTCTCTCTCTCTCTCTCTC